TAGAAGACATCATACACTGTACTTTTATAATCTGTGTCACATGCTCCACTTTAACAATGTTGAAGAATAAAATAAATAATTAAGGTAAGGATATAGTTTAGGAAGGGTATTTGGCTCCTGTGTGAAGGCTGCCCTGGCTTCCATCTCTAGCACTGAAAAGAAATGAAATTAACAATTCAATCATAGAACTTACGAGGCATTACTTTTATTCTTTTATTTCATCCTACTATATTTTAGGACCTTTGTGAGTGGCTGTGTATTACTAAATAGTGTCCAGTAGGTGACGCTAGTATACCATCTTTTAGGTCGTATTTCAGCCTTGACTCTAGAATAGGGAGGAAAACCCTGCTTTTAGTTCTAAGCAGGTTGCAGTTAGAAATCATGCTTTTAAATTTTTTCTCATACTTTAAAATTCTGTACCTGAGCAAAACACATATTTTTAAGACCAGAGATAATGCATGTCCATGAGGAATTAATTTATCTTCAGTATCGCTCGCTCTTTGGGACTGTGAAGGCTCTGTTAGCGTATTCCTTCCAGGTCTTACCATTTGGAGGAGGACATACATCCTGCCACAAGTTTAACACATTCTAGAGTGGTTATGCGACTCTGAAAAACCTAGTTGATACTTCCAAAAGATTTCCTTTAAATACAAAAAAATAAAAATAAAAATAAAAAGCTACCATTTTTTCCTATTGACACCATCCTTTGCCTTCAGAAACTTTTCAATTTCATGAAGTCCCATTTATTAATTGTCGGTCTTAGTGCTTGTGTTATTCGCGTTCTGTTCAGGAAGTTGTCTTCTGTGCCAATGTATATGATATAATTTCCCACTTCTCTTGTATCAGGTTCAGTATATGTAGATTTATGTTGATCTACTTTGACTTGTGTTTTGTGCAGAGTGATAGATAAGACATCCAGTTAGATCAACACCATTTGTTGAAGATGCTTTCTTTTCTTCCATTGTATAATTTTGACTTCTTTGTCAAAAATCAGGTATTTGTAGGTGTGTGGATTTACGTCAGGGTCTTTGATTAAATTCCATTGATCTTTTTATTCCAATACCACCTGATTTTTTATTACTATAGCTCTATAGTAGAGCTTGAAATCAGGGATGGTGATAATTCCACAAGCTCTTTTATTGTACCGGATTGTTTTAGCTATTCTGAATTTTTTGTTTTTCCATATGAAGTTGAGTATTGTTCTTTTAAGGTCTGTAAAGAATTGTGTTGGGATTTCAGTGGGGATTGCATTGGATCTGTAGATTGCTTTTGGGAGGATGGTCATTTTTACTATGTTATTTCTACCGATCCATGAGCATGGGAGATCTTTCCATCTTCTGATACCTTCTTCAATTTCTTTCTTCAAAGACTTGATGTTCTTGTCATACATACTTATTTTTCACTTGCTGGGTTAGAGTTACACCAAGATATTTTATATTATTATTTGTATATAGGAGGGCTACTGATGTTTTGAGTTAATCTTGTATCCATCCACTGTTGTTTAGGCATCTAGATTTGGGATGATTTTGGGTCTAGATGTTGATTTCTGTGTTTGTCTTTGTTGATGGGTGTTCCCTTGTTTCTCTTTCCTCTCTGGTCTTCTGGCCTAAATGACCAAAGGTTCTGATGACTAGCGTGTCTTCAGGTCCTATAGGGTGTGCCTCTGTGTTTTGGGGGCTAGAGGGTCACTAGATCTCACCTGGTCTCTGGTAAATCTGAAGTCTTCTGAAGTTGTAGACAGGATATGGAGCCCAGGAGACTGGGTACAGGCTGGGGTCCCTAGATCTGATCTAGCCTCTGGGATCCCTAGAACTAGCCTGGCCTCCAGCACAGCTGTGGGTGCTGGGGTCCCTAGATACAGCCTGCGCTCCAATAAAGCTGTAGTCTTCTTCTGAAGTTGTAAACCTGGGGGTCCCTAGATCTGGCCTGGTTTCTGGTAAAGCAGAAGTCTTCTGAAGTTGTAGATCCAGGATATGGATCTGGGGGTGGGCTGGTGGTAGGGTAGGACTGTGTGTGCAGCCTGGGATTATTGGGCAGGCTTAAAGTAACTTTATGAGTGCTGGACAGTATCTTATCTGGAGTTTCTAGTACTAGCCTGGCCTCTTGTAAGGCTGCCAGGGCTGTGGTTCATAGTATGGAGCCCAGGGGAAGGGGTGAGGTCTGGGTTATTAGGTTTAAAGAGCGTTAGTTGGCAGTGGGTGGTAGCTTTCCTGGGGTTCCTAGATGCTGCCTGGTTTCTGGTAAAGCAGTAGACTTCTTCCAAAGTACTAGGCCAGGCGATGGGGCCCAGCAATGGAGGTGCAGTTTGGGGTTGTTGGATAGGCTTAAAGGGGTTTAGTGAGAGGCAGTGCCTTCCCTGGGGTTCCCAGGACCTCTCTGGCCTCCAGTATAGGCACAAGGCTGTGGGCCATAGTGTGGAGCCCAAGGGAGAAGGCGCAGTCTGGGGTTTCTGGGAGGGCTTTAAGGAGTTTGAAGTTCAGATTTACTGAGATCAAGTGAAGCAAAGGGGAGTTTGCCAATTGGAAATGGAAAGGATTTCCCACAGCATTGTGACACAAGAACTAAGAACAAGGATGCTATCAGTCTAGAGGTAAAGACAGTTGCTGGCAGTGTGTGGACGGCAATTGGTTTTGTGTAAGGTTATATTGACCTTTGGGTGAGGTTGTGGTTCTGGCCTGTCTTCTGTGGTCACTTTTGCAGTCAGACAAATATACAGGAGAACTCCTTCTTCATAACTTTATAACTTACCTCCCTTCCTCCCTACCTCCCTCTACCTCTCTTAAGTTGATTCTAATGATACTCACAGGTTCTATTGTTGGAGGAGTTCTAACAGTTAATTCATGACCAGCCTTGAATCTCATACACTTACCTTCTTGCACACCCCTCTTCTGATTATTTGAAGCAAATCTCATCATTCCAGGACATTACTCTTGAATTCCGTCTTTAAACATAACTACATCACGTTTACTCTGGAAAATCACCTTTAGTGATTCCATATGGCATAAAGTAACTTGTTAGAACTCAGATATCTACAACTGTGTGCTAATATTTGTGATTCATTTGACACCCAATCCAAAATAAAATCTACACATTGAAATTGCCCAAGTACCTCTTAATTATTTTAAAAGTTATTTTATGTGTATGAGTGTTTTGCCTGCATGAGCCATAGGCACACCAGCACATGCCTGGTGTCCTCAAAGCTCAGAAGAGGGAGTTGGAGCCTCTGAAACTGGAGTTACAGATGGTTGTGAGCCATGATTATGGGCATTGGGAACCATATCTGGGTCCTTTGGAAGACAGCCAGTTTTCTTAATGTTTAATACTTAGTTCCCCATCACTTTTGTTTTTTCTTAGTGTTTTGCTATTGAGACAGAATTGGACTGCTTTTCTTTTAGAACTCAGAATGAATTTTGCTGATTATGCTTTGTGTTAACATACTCCTGTAGTGATATATGTTCTGAAAACCAGGATCAGATCTTGTTTATATTTACACTCACTCACTCACACACATACACACACACACACACACACACACACACACACATCAAAGGACAAACTCTGGGACATCATTCCTGGATCTGTTTTAGCCAAGTTCCTGGGCTCCTCTGCATGAAAAGTTCATGTTTCAATCACTAGGATTGAAACATTCTATAGCCTGCATGTATGTGTTCTACGTGACTTTTCATGTCTCTCTTCATGCACATTTGATGATAATCTTAAAAGAGAATCTTCAGCTTGTTTGCTGCATGGAAACCATCATTCTAAGCCCAAAGCCCCTCCCTATGTGTGTCAGATCTGCACTTTCCCTGATTGGTAATCTAATTTTACTTTTCATTCCACCCAGAACACTGGAGTCCAGGAGCCTTAAAATCCATTTTATTACTATCTCTAATTAATACAAAGTAAACAAGGTATTATTCCATGTTTCTGGGCTATTTGGCTAAATTAGGAGAAGGCAGAACAAATGCTAATTGCTCTCAAAAAATCCAGAGAAAAGCAAATGACAAGTGATCTTCTAACACCATGCTGGGCTTGTAAAAACTCAGTCTTGGTGAGCAATCTGTTATAAAACAAAGCAAAGCAAAACATAAACAAACGAGCAGGCAAACAAACAAACAAAAAACGTAAGGCCCATAATTTTCTTAAATTTAATTTCGTATTTGTCCTCATTTAAAATTCAGACTGGAGAATTGAAAGCAGGGCTGTCAACCAGAGCCAACAAAGAAGAGGGGATCTTCCAGCTCGGTTTACCACAAAGGTCTGAGGTCAGAGTGTTAGCTGCAACCTCATGCTTGGTCTAAGTGCAGAAGTGACATTAAAACAGCCCTGGGAACATCACTGGAGATGTGTCTGTCATGTGTCTAAGCTCTGGGCGGGGTTGGTTTTTAGTGAACAAAGCTGGGTGTGGTTGAGTAGAGGTGGGTGCCAGTTACAGCATCTCTCCTGCCATTGTGCCACAGTCGAGTGAATTTTTCCATATGTAAACACGCTGGGTGAATAGGGAGAACTAGTTGGGTCATTTCTTGTTACAGTTCAAAATAATTGTCATCTCAGCTGTTTTTATTGTTCTTATTTAAATTAAGTTCAGCAGCTTTTAAACTAGAATCTGAACTGGATAACACATTGAAATAACTTGCAAGACATAACAACTTAAGCCTATGAAACTAATTGTAGCCTCACAAAAGCATTTTGCAGGGTGGAGAGATATAGGGCCATCTTTTTCAGTCACACACTTGGCTTGGATAGCAGCAGTATCTTTTAGAGTGAAGGTAAGCAGAACGTACACCCACCCACCCACCCACACACACACACACACACACACACACACACACACACACACACACACACACATAACTAGAGTGCTCATTTTGTGTGTCAGCCACCAGAGGGTGCTGTGAACTGCCCTGCCTTCCACCAGCCTTCCCACCAGATGAAAAGCATCTCCTCCTGACTGATTAGGGAGGCTGGGTCTCATTCCCCTTGACTCTCTGGCCTGGCCTTACCACTCACCTTAATGCTCGCTGGTCCATGCTTTTTTCAGAGCATCCTCTCACTCTCCTGAACTCTGTGGTACTGCCCAAAGGGTATCTATGTCTTTCTTGTGTGAGGCACTTCAAGGCTCCTTGGTTCTGGGATTTCAACAGTTGTGATGGTTATTCTTGCTTGTCAACTTGACTGCATCTAGAATTAACTAAAAACCCACTTATGAGGGATTTTCAGCTAATTGGACCATTTGAACTAGGCAGAACCTCCCCCGCCCTTAAATATGTATCACCTGACTTTGGAAGTGCCATCTTTAATCTCGGCCACTCCTTCTTGTGGAAGCCACTATGAAGGACAGGCAAAAAGACCTTTTGCTCTTTGCCAGCTTGCCTTCTCCCTTCCTGGTAAGTCTATTCCTTCACTGGCATTCGAGCCTACTTCTTCAGGATTCTGATACACTGAAGACCAGCTGAGTTATCTAGCCTTGTGGACTGAACAACTACTGGATTCCTGGACTTTCTGTTGGGAGATGGATAGCCATGGTTGGACTAACAGATAGCCATGGTTGGACTAGCAGATAGCCATGGTTGGACTAGCTGGACCACAACCTGTAAGCTACTCTAACAAATTCCTTTATATATACGTTCATTCTATCCGTTCTATTACTCTAGAGAACCCCGACTAGTACAACAGTGTTTTGCCGCTTCTCTGTTAACTATCACATGATATGATATTACATGATACTGCCATGATGTAATAATGTTCCCACCTTCTGTACTACTAGTAGGTCCTTTAGGATAGTGGTTCTCATCCTGTGGGTCAAGACCCTTTGGGAGTCAAATGACCCTTTCATATGGGTTTCCTATGACCATTGGAAAACACAGGTATTTATATCACAATTCATGGCACTAGCAAATTTACAGTTAAAAAGTAGCAACGAAAAAAATTCATGGTTGGGGGGTCACCTGAGGAACTGTATTGGAGGGTCACAGCAGTAGGAAGGTTGAGAACCACTGCTCTAGGAGAACCTTGTCTGAATTAATTTTTCTTTTGGTAGTTTCTGCTAGCAAAAGTCCGGCATGGCATGCTGTTCACTGAGTAGTCAGCCATAGTTAAGGGAGTCTGATGCCGACTCTGTTGCTTTTTATTTATGTTTACTTTTTTGGGGGGAGGATCTCTCTGTGTAGCTCAGACTGTTCACAAACTCACAGTTCTTGCCCCTCCCAAGTGCAACCCTGCTGCATTTTGACAAACTGAGTCCCCTTCTCCCCTTGCTCTGTTTCTGATTCAGTGTTGGGTGATTCACAGGTCTGGACAGGGCATATGTCATGCTAGGTATTGATTGGAGACTCTAGAGTTAATTGTTGTCTTAAATATAGGACTAAATGTTTTATTGACTGAATGTCATGACCAGAGGGCTGGCAGCTGAGAATGAGAAGGGGAGGGGGTTGAAAGTCTGGGAAGGTGAGTATTGGGGTGCTAGGGAGAACTGGGGAGAGGCGTTCTGAGGAAGGCTTCTGATGAACTGCCAATCTTTGCATGCAGGGTCATGCTGCCTCTCCTCCTGCCTCTCCCCCATCCTTTTGGACTCAGGTTCTCTGTCTTCAGCAAGACAAGATGATTGCCTGATTAAGACCATCTTAGCTCATTTACCTGGGGAAGCAACATGTGCACATGGTCAAAAGGAAGCAAGCAGCAAAGAAAAAAAAGGGGGCCACACCATGGGTTCTGTTAATGGCATGCAAAATACCTTGTATTGTTCATTTCATTTGGCTCAGCTTTTCTTTGCTCTCATTTAAAATCAATCTTAAGATAATACCATATCAGAAGAGTGCTTTATAACCATCACATTTAAAAACTTTCCTCATCAGATGATGTGATTATTATTATTGAGACAGGGTCTCTTCTCTGTGGCCCCAAAGAATTCACATCTAAAATGTGGGTTATGCGCCAACACACACAATCTCAAGCCTGAGTAGACAAGGCTCATTAATACATTCAATGAAGCATTGGGCCAGTGATTGGTAGACAGGTGACTCTGTTAACATCTATTTGCATAAAATGGTTGCAAAATCAAGGACAGATTGAGCCCCTCAGGCTGGTGAGGTTGGGCTCACACACTTCTCAGTTTTCACAGTGTTGGCAATCGAACTGGGGTTGAGAGGCCTAGGCCTAAGGAAGGGTGACTGCCATTTTGTCTGGACCTGCAAATCACATCCAGTCTTCTGTGAGGTAAGAAGACAGAAGGTGGTAAAAGTTATTCCCAAGTCTCCGAGTCTTAGTTGAAAACGATCTCAGAGACTGTTGCTGTTTTGAAGATGTATAGTGGGGAGACCTTTATGTTTTGGATCCAAGTAAACGTCATCATTTCCTATTTACTCCATCTTGAAGACATAAATTTTGCAAGTGTGTTGACAATTTAAATATTTCTTAATGTGGTCTCCCTTGCACTGTTTGAAAAGCTGTTGAAACGGGAAAAGCAGTGTAAGCCTAGAAACAGACTGTAGCTTTGGGGAGAATCCAGTGTTTCGAAAGCCCGTGATAAAACAAAATGAAAGAAAACACTGGGAAACACAAAGCAAAAGAACCTGAGGTCTGAGGGGATTTTATGATAATCCGAGGCTTTCATTCCTGCTGACCCGAACAGCCCTGGTCCAGGATGAAAGTGTTGTCCAGTATGCCGCTTGTTCAGCATGCTGCTTGGTCAATATTGTTGTTGGGAATGAAGACTTTGTTATGGTGAAAATTGTGAGTTTTGTGGACAAAGAAAAACAAAACTGTAAGGCAAGATGACTAGACCTCTGAAGTGATTTCAGGACAGGTTTTGAAATGCATGCAATGAAATATCTCTAGGTGTACTACAAGAATTCAGGGTTGCTGATGTAAGTGACTATTTTAATTCTTGTTTACAACATTCAAAAAAAAAGAAGTAAAGTTGGGTGGTGGTGGCCCATGCCTTTTATCCCAGCACTCGGGAGGCAGAGGCAGGCGGATCCATGTGATTTCAAGACTAGCCTTGTCTACAAGAGCTAGTTCCAGGACAACCTCCAAAGCCACAGAGAAACGCTGTCTCAAAAAATAAAAAAGTATCTTAATTAAAATTTTATTTGCATAAAATTGCCAGTGAGTTACACAAACCTGGTAAAAACATTGGCCACAAACTAGGTGGTGACTATTTATTTTTGCAATGCCAGGGACCTGTAACCTCATGCGTGCTAGACAAGTACTTCATCATTAGGCCACACCCCCAGCCTGTGTCCTATGCTGTATGAATGTTCACATGCCCAGTGGCGTGTGCATGAAGATGCATGAGTGTGCATGTGCACATGGAGGCTGGAGGATAAATGTGGGTGTTCTTTCTTGGGTTTCATCTATTATTTTTTACATTAAAAATTTCACTTTTATTTATTCTGTGTATACTTGCTACAGCACGTATGTGTGTGGAGAATAAAGGATAATGAGTCGGAGTTTGTACCTGTACCCATTGAGCCATCTCCCCTGACACACATACCACTTTTGAAAGAGTTCTTTCTCACTTCTCTGGAGCTCACCAGATAGGCTATGCTGCCCAACCAGCAAGCCTGGGGATCTGTCTGTTGCGGCCACTCCAGCACGGTGAGTGCTAGTGAGTGTGTGCTTCTGTGCCCAGGTTTGACAGGTGCCTGACTGAATTAGCATCCTGGGTACCTGGTTTTTTGTTTGTGTGTTTTCTTTTCTTTCTTTTTTTTTTTTTTTTTTTGACAGGTTCTTTCTTTGTAGCTCAGGCTGGCTTGGAACTCACAACTAGTGTCTAATTCAGAACCATCGTGCTTAAACGTGCTGGAATTAGACACATGCTGTACCACACTCTGAACTGAATGCTCTGGAAACATCTCCTGTTCTTTCCTCCTAGGAAGCATTTCTTTTGTTACAGTATTTACATGAAGAAAACACCTTTCCGTGTTTCCATTTCAGATGAGCAAGATTTGTTGGAAGAAGTCTCAAATGGGAAAAACAAGGCCACTTTGAAGAGCACTCCTCCTTCTTCCAGGACCCCTCTTTGCAACATTTTCTCCTCTCAGGGCCAAAGTCCAGCTGGACCGCCTCTCTCACTCTGTCCTGCCTTCTGTGATCTCGTTTGCCTGAAGGAACCTGGATGCAGTTGAGGGAAAGCAGAGTCTGAGGTAAGAAGCAGGAAAATGGCATCCCCTCCTTGTTCCCAGGATAATCCCACACGGGTTTGCTTTAGTTCTCAGAGATGGCAGAATTCCTTTCCCTTGGGGCTGATGATCATCTGTGTCCTCTCCGGATCTCCCTGCTTATCTTTAGACAAACTCCCAACAATCTGCTGGGCAGAACTACAAGCGAAAGGATTTGCAACATAGGCTGTGCTGCAAATCAAGGAGGTAGCTGTTGTGAGGGGAGGGACAGTGATTGTTCAGTCAGTTGCATGTGACATACATGATATCACTGAGTCCACAAAGGGGCAGGCAGAGCTCTCCTCCCCTGAGGTGGAGAAGCACACCCTCTAAGCCAGGAGGATCGGGAAACAGAGTTTGGAAGGAGTCCTAGCACGGGCTGCCGTTCACTTTTTGCTTGCTAGACCTTCTAGAAGGGTTGGAGGGAAGCAGGTGGGAACTGGAGGCCAGCCAGCTTCCCCAGTGAAAGCAGTCCTGAGGGAGGACTGGGAAGGTGGTCAACAGTCACTTTCATTTGTCCTTTAGCTAGCTGAAAAGGTAATTAGTGTATAGTGTTCTTATATAAATGTGCAGGCCCAGTGTGATGGTTCAGTCAGTAAAATGTCTGCCTTCCAATCATAAGAAGCTGATCTCTCAGAGCCCGTGTAAAAATCAGTGGGGTATGCTGTCATGCGCATGTGACCCTAGGATTGGTTGGTAAAGACATGGACTTGGGGACTCACTGGCCAGTCAGCCTTGCCTACTTGAGGAATTCCAGGCCAGCAGGAAACCCTGTATCAAGCAGCACAATGGGGACCAGAAAGTTGGCTCAGCATCTAAGAGTGTGCTTCTACGGAGGACCCAAGTTCGGTTCTCAGCACCCATAGCAAGCAGCTCATTACCCTACTAACTCCAGCTCCAGGGCGTCTGATGTCTCTGGCCTCTGTGGACACCTGCACAGACCCCGCCCACATACGCACAGCTAAGAACAATAGGTCTCCTAGCACTCGGGAGGCAGAGGCAGGCGGATCTCTGTGAGTTCGAGGCCAGCCTGGTCTACAGAGTGAGTTCCTGGACAGCCTCTAAAACAATACAGAGAAACCCTGTCTCAAAAAACCAAAAAAAAAAAAAATAGGTCTTTAAAACCCTGTCTTGTAAAAACCAAAGGTGGAAAGCGCCTGTGAATAACAGCTGAGGTTGTCCTGACCTCCCCGCACATCCGCACACGTGTACACCCACCTTTGCCTATGTGCCTCTGTGTTCATATGTGCACACATGAGCAAATGAGACATGTGTATTAAATCAATGTAAATAAAAATGAAAACAAGCTGGAGGGAGAGGGGAATCCTAACCCCATTCCCTCCAAACAATTACTGTTTTATGGACTTTTTCTTTTCTGTTTACATCTGTGAAAAGACCTCGTTTTATTGCTCCATTCTGATAAAATTGCAGTAATATATAATGGTCAAATGATTCTTTTTTTTCAATTAACACTAAAAGCATGCTTTGCTAGGGTATTGTTGGATTATTTTGGTCAGTTGCATCTATGACTGTTTTCTATTTGTCTTAATCACTCCCAAGTTGAGTACGGACTTTTTAAGCCATGTATAACAGGTAAGAGAAAAAAAAAGACAAAATGAAAAGCTATTTTGGGAAGACCCCTCTTATATTTGGAGATAATGTTCCAGAAACCAACTGTGCAGCAGCAAAAGACTAAAAGTTGATACTATGGGATTTATTTTACCTAGGTGTGTGGCTCATGTCTGTAATCTCAGCACTCCACAGGTTCACTCACGGGGACTGTGACTTCCTTGATGATCTGAGCTACACAGTAAGACTCTCAAGATATATTAAAAATTAAAAACTTATGTTGAGGATATGACTCAGTGGTAGAATTCTTGTCTAGTATGCTTAAAGTCCGGCATCAATTCCCAACACTGGAAAAAATAAGACAAAAAACATGTTTTGGCCCAGCAGGTAAGGCATTCGCTTAAAACAAGCTAGGCCATTTTGGAAGAGTGAAACTCACTTGAGAAAATGTTCCCATATCATTCTGGTCCATGGGTAAGCATTTTCTTGGTGATTGATGTAGGAAGGCCCAGTTGTGGGTGGTGCCACCCCTGGGCTGGTGATCCTGGGTGGTGTAAGAAAGCAGGCTGTGACAGTAGGCTAGGGGGGGCAAGCCAGCAAGCGGACTCCTCTGTGGCCTCTGCTTCATTCCTTCCTCCTGACTTCCCTCCCTGACTTCCTTTGATAATAGACTGTGAGGCGGAACTGTAAGCTGAAATAACCCTTTCCTCCCCAAGCTGTTTTTTGGTCATGGTGTTTCATCACGACAACAGAAACCTGACTTAGACACCCAATGACCTGAATTTGATCCCTGAAGCCCACATGGTGGAATTCCCACAGCTGCCCTCTGACTTCCATCATGGCAGATGTGTGTGTTCTCACGCGCACACGATAAATTAGCAGAATAAAACATTTTAAATATATTTAATATATTTTACATCATGGGAGGGGAATCAGACAATAACTAAATACGTAAAGAAAATGTAACTTTAGCTGGTGATAAGAGCTGTGAGAATGGAATTGGGGATGATGTAACATTTGCGCTCATATGTGCCTGCACATGTGTGTGTGTGTGTGTGTGTGTGTGTTTGTGTGTGTGTGTTCTTGTTCCTCCCAAGGAGGATGTGCTATTTTGAACCTTCTCCCCTGAGAGTCAGACCACAGTTCTGCTTCCTACATCCGAGAGGACTGGAGCAGCAGCTTCCGCTGGTACCAAGTGCTGGGTAAGGATCAGAGTGGAGGCCAGTGGCAGGGAGGGTGGGGTCTGATACCCAATTGTAGCAATGAAGAGTGTATCAAGCCTTCTGGTCCCTGTGGAGCTGCTGCCTAGTCTCCAGCACAGAGCACAGGTGGCTTTGAGAGGACAGCATTTGAATCCCAGGACTCTTTGTCATCAGCTTAAGGCAACAGGGGATTCTTTACCTGGAAGGCACTGTTAATGAAGGAAGCTTTGCTGCAGGGTTCTGATACATCTATCAGGCCCTCAGGCAGTGCCTGGTACATAAAGTCTATTTGCTTTGGATATCATTGAGATATTACTTGCTGTGGTGACCCTGAGCTGTGTCCGCACTGTCCAAATCCCTATGCTTACTCCTAGGAAGATGGCTTAAGCATCTTTTATAACTTCTTCTTTAGGGCCTGCTCTGGGCCCTGCATCTTTCCTTAATGAACTTAAACACAATGGGTTGCTTGTTTTTCCATCTCCAGTGCAATACTGCATCCTTAGGGCAAGCGCCAAGATTTGACACTTCCCATGCATTTCTTCTACTGGATGGAAACAACTTTCTAGCCGCTTTCTATTGACTGAGGAGGCAAAATAGAAGTGCAGTCTTCCTTGGCAGATTTAGATGGCTTAAGCACTTGTGTCTTTAAATCCGTGCTTGGAGACCAGTATACAATGCTATATCGCAAAGGAAATGGAAATGGAGACTGTTGCGACTGCTTAAAAAATGCCAATTTGCTCAAGATGTATAATGCACTTATATGTCTATTCTTTGAGACACTGTCTCCCCATGTAGCCCATGTTGGATTAGAACTAGCTATGTAGCCTAGGCTAGCCTCGGAACACACGCTCCTCCTGCCTCAACTTTGCAAATTCTGGGCTTGCAGGCATGTGGCACTATTACTGACTGCACATAATAGTATTTTGATATCACAAGCAGTCCCGTATCTACTGAATGAAATATAAAGTCTGGCCGGAGAACTTTGCTGCCCTATCCCCATCTCTCCACACCCCAGCGACTCATCCAGCTCCGCCTCCCTCAGTCTCTGCTAGTACTGTTACCTCTCATGCTCCTGTCAGCATCGGTTTTGCTGTTTCCTCAGCTTGGAGTATGCTCACATTCGCCCATCATCTCTTTGCTCTCCCAGTCTGATTGGGTCAAGGTGCCTGGACCTCCCACAGCTGCAATGCTTCTCTTAGTCTGTGCCATAGCAACTGTCAGTGCTGCACCCTTCATGGCAGAGGGGGCCACGGTGTTGCTCAGGCAGTTGTGGGCACTTCATGGGGAGTGCCTCATCTTGCTGTACCCTCAGTTGTAACTGATGTCTTACTGGTGAGGTCATAGGGGAAAGGCATGTTCTTTCCTCTTAGTTCATGTCTATTTGATGAAAGGGCTGAAAATTCTACTGAAAGTGTAAAAACAGAAGAGCAAAGAGCCCAGGAAGCTCCTGACTGACTTCTATAAAGACTTTGACCAGATTTAGGCAGAGTGGAGGGGGCAGGGGCAGGAGCGTGGAGAGGTGGGATGGAGAAGGGGGCAGAGCAGTATGATGCTGGCCCTTGTCAGTCAGATGAAAGGGGTCCGATCGATGCCTTTGGAGAACAATGAAGAGGCAACGGAGAGACCAGGAAGGGAAAATGGCCATAGTTAAAAGTAACCATGACCAAACAATGACACACGTCTCTGTAGCTCTGTCCTTTGTCAGTTGTGTGACTGTGCAAGTTAGTTAAGATTTCCCAATAGCAAGATGCTCATGTAGCTAACAGGAATTAAGAACAGAAGTGATTTATAGGATCTGTGACAAATAAAGAAGACAGTGCTTGTATGGGGGCAGGGCCAGAATGTAAAGTACCCTGAAAGGGGGTCTGCTAGAAACAGTGGGATTAACAGTAACGCGAACAGTAGTAATAGTGATGATCTAACAGTGTGTGTGTGTGTGTGTGTGTGTGTGTGTGTGTGTGTGTGTGTGTGCACCTGTGCCTCTCAATGACAGCCTCAAATGTTGGTCCTTGGGTGCCTTCCACTCTTTCTTCCAGACAGGGTCTCTCATTGGTCTGGAGCCTGGTCAAGTAGTTGGGGCTAGTCAAGCTTTCCCACAGCACATCCAGGGGGCTGTCTGTTTCTGTCTATCATCTTGCCATCACTGGGATTACAAGCACACACCTGCCTTGTATATGGGTTCAGGTGTTCTGAACTCAGGTCTTCACACTTGCA